CTCACCGACTCCAATCACCAAATTAATAGTCATGTTGATAGCGTAATTGGACTATATGCTCATAATCATGACAACCAAATCTGATCATCCGGACAAAGGGAGTAAATGTAAAAACTGCTAGAACTAAAAAGCAGTCAATTCAGATAGACAGAAACTTCAATTTTACTTCTAAATGACTTCACCTACATTATTTATTTATTTATTTATTTATTTATTTTATTAAATATCACTTACTTTTAAATATTATTCACATTGAAAAAACAAGTAAAATATTTTTTTTTGGTGTAATTTGGAGTGTAACATTATCATAAATATGGGAAATATAATTAACACTGATCACAAATTTCAGAACCCATACACATTTCTATAAGAATGCAATTATGCATCACAAATGGACTGTCTGACTGTCACTCCTGTATCGCGTTTTTCTATCTTCTCTGTTCATATATCTTCTGCACCACTGCAACACTTCATATGCAATTTTGCTCTTTAACAAAATCTCAATAGTAGTCCTATGCTTTATATAAGAATTTCCATGAATGTATGTTATCCTCAGAGAATGTGTTATAATGTAATTACAGATTTTCCCAACCAGGTATATTGGCTGTGGCTTCATTCACCATATTTATTAATCTTACCCAAACAAGTAAAATATTACAATCCAGAAAATACTTCATAGACCGAGTAATCAATATTAAAAAAAAACACATATAAAAAACATCATTGAAGTTTTAAAGCTAATTAATTAATTTAACTCAATTTAAGAAATTCAGGTAAAATTCCAGAAATAGTTGAGTTTATACCTGTAAATCCAGAACTTTCCAGTTGAATTACTGTAGTAACCGTCAGAATTTCGCTCAAAATTTCTAGGACGCCAAAGAAAAACACGAATCAGGACTCCAGAAAGCACAAATCAGATGAATCTTAAAAAAGGAATTTTGTTGGGGTTTCTGGGTTCGAATTCGTATGCTTTTGAGTTGATTTTTGCTCGAAATGGGGGATTTTTGGTCGGAAACAATCAATTTTTCTGGGTTTAAGGGTTCGAATTTCTTAGGGTTTTTGGTCTAAATTTTTGCTCGAAATTGCTCGGATTTGCTTCAAATTGACTGCAATTTTAATTTAGATGTTAAATTTGCTGGGAATCGCAGTTTTTTGGCCTAATTTGTTGGATTTCAGAGACGAATTTGTGGGTGTTTTGCTGTAGCAATTCACTGGAATTGAAGAACTCTTGTTTTTTTTTCTTTTTGTTTAGTGAATGTAGGCGTATGTGATGAAAAACTAAGGTAAAAAAACGCAGAAAACCTAAAGCCAAAAGAGTTATTTGCGTCACTTTATTATAAAAAAACGACGCAAATAACCTTGTTTATGATATTGTAAACAGCTCATATGCGTCGCTCATGTAGTAAAAGCGTGACGCAAATTACTTAATCACTTATTTGCGTCGCTTGTTAACAAATGAGTGACGCAAATAAGTTTATTAATTGCGTCGCTTTAATAAATAAGAGCGACGCAAATGAGAGAAAGCTGAAATGCACTTGAGTTTTGCGTCGCTTCTTGAATAACATGCGACGCAAATAACTTAACAGGATGGTAAAAATAAACATTTGCTTCGCTCCTTAGAATGAGTGACGCAAATATGGCGACGCAAATGTACATTTTTCTACTAGTGTCACAAAATTAACCTATCGGCCCCAATTAGTAACTTATCCCAAGTCTAGCTTGGGGGAGCCATCTATCTTGGTGTTCTCTATGGTTTGTGATGATGCTTTGGAGAAGATTAACTTAAATCTTGAAGGTTCTTGAAATTTTTGCTATATGATCTATTTTTTAGCTCTTATAGTTTGTTAAAAAAGAAGAAAAAAGAAAAGAAAAGAAAAAATTTCAGCTTCTTGAAGGATAAATAAAAGAGCTTCAGAAATAAGAATAGTGCGATGAATTGTTATGTAGGGTGAATAAGGTGGTAGTTGCTCTTAATTCAAGTTATGTTTGGAGTGTGTATTCTTGTGAATTAGTTCGATGGGATTTTGATGTGTATTGGTTATTTTTTGATGGCTTCCCTGAAGGACTATATTTACCTACATTTTCCAAATTTTTCCTACCCATTTTCACCCGACTTACATTACAAGCTTGAAAAAGACCTTCTGACCTTCATGCATAGTATTGTGTTCATGTGAAACGAGTCTTTTGTCAAAATGCTGGAGTATGTGTCACATTTCGAGTCGACTTTTGACTAGGTTGAGCGGCAATATTACCCTTTAAACACGCGAGTGTTGTGAGATAAGGGGGGTTATCATCATTAGTGGGGATGGAGAGAAATCAGGCTCATTTTTAGCTCGCCACATAAAATTGTGCGGAGTGACCACTAAGTGAGATATTCTAGTCATCGATTCCTTATGTGTACATGGTTGACTCTGTTTGATGGCTATTCAGGTTGATTGATAGTCTGAATGAGGTGATTGGTTGGCTAAGATGCTTGTGTGTCTGATTTCGATTTTGAGTATGGTATTTTCAAATGTAATATGGGGTGAAGTATGTTTATTTGGTTGTTTCTAGTCATTGATTGTCTTGCTCGAGGGCAAGCAAGAACTTAGCTTGGGGGAATTTGATGTACACATTCTATACCATATTTTACCCTCATTTCATAGCTATGTTCGTATAATTTCTAAGCTCTACGGAGCTATTTCTCGCTAATATCCTCCTCTCTAGTGTGGCTTGGTCTATTTGATTGATTTTGTAGGCATATGAAGATTTCCGGATGATTTGGACTTGTTTTAGATAGCCACGAAAGCTTATTAAGATGGAGGAGAATTTTACCCGTGTCCGCCCTGGAGGGCAACATTGCCCTGGCAGCTAGGGCGAAGAAGGAAAAGAAGAGAAGTTATGAGAAAGAATGGAAGAGTTCAACTTCCATCCGCCCGGACCGGGCGACATTGCCCTGGCAGACCGGGCGGACAAAGTATTGTGCGAGGAAGCTAGATAAAGAAGCATTGGGCGAATTTGCTTCTCGCGCCCGACCGGGCAGCTTTGCCTGGTCAGACCGGGCGGAGTGTCGAAGACCGCGTTCTCCTATTTTTTTCGGGTTTTCTTAATTAAGGGATATAAATACCCTTTGTAAACCCCGACTTAACATACTTAGTTATTATTTTAAACATTCATTAGAACCCTAATATTCTCTCTAGATCTAGGTTAATTTGCACTTTCAAGTTTTGATCTTTGTTCATCAACAATTGGTACTTTTCTTCATTCAAGCAATTGGTATTCATCTTTATTTCTTCTCTCACTTTTAATTGCTTATTAATTATGTTTTCTTCATTGATTATTGTTTTTGCTTTCATTAATATGTGTGAGTAGTTTCTTTATTCCAAGATCTAGCGGAACCCGAATATGATTAATGCATGATTTAATTCTTTAAATTCTCTGATAATAATTGTAATTGATATGCTTAATTGATTATGCTTATGCCAATACTATATTAGAGATAATTGGTATTGTTATTAATCCTTTGTTTTAATCACAACGGGAGTTGGGTTTTGACGGATTTGAATAAATCAATTAAGGGTTTGAAGTTCATCACGGGAGCAGTTGAATGGATGATTAGGAAGTCAGAGTAATGTGCTTAAGGTCTCTAATTTACATGATTCCACGGAAGTAGGCTTGATTGTGATTAGAGAAGCCATTGATAACTCGAGAGAGACCTTTGGTATTATTCATGGATTACTTTTCCTCTTAAATCAATTGAATTATGTGTTAGGGGTAGAACGACTATTGCATTAATTGTATTCGTGGTGAAGCTTGATCTTGGATGTTTTTAGCATTGATTTGTCATATTGTTTTGATTTAATCGTTTTAATTAGTTCTTTAGTTATTGATTCTCACTTATTTGAATTGGTTACTTGCTTAGTAATTGCTTGAGTCTATTCAATTAGTTGAACCATAGTCTCTTGGGATCCGACCCTTGCTTGCCCGTCTACATAGTAGTGGTCTAGTTAGGTTTATTTTTGTTAGGTACACGACACGCCTATCAATGATATAATGCAAAAATAAATTTCTTCAACAATGTCCAATATGACATGATTTTGATGGGGAATTTTAACACCGCGGTAGCTTTACTAGACTAACTACAAACATCAGATGGAATATTGATGCCAACAAACCCAAACAAGACAACCACAACTCCAACATAGGCTATTATATCGGGGGTATTACCACTCAGTGCACCCACAATGGGGTATCTGATCCTCATCCTTTTTACATTTTTTTTAAAGTTAGAGGATGAGCATGGTTGTAGATACTTTTAAGAGGATCCTCAATTATAGAGGATGTTGGTGGATCCTCTATAAATGGAGGATGAACATGCATTGGCTCAAGAGCCAAATTTTGGGTGGAATGGTGGGGTGGGTGACACGTGAAAGAGTTAAGGAATTTTTTTTTTTTAAACACATAAACATGCACCTATTATTATTTGACACTTGGCAATGCACCTTTTTTTTGCTGAATGTGTTCAATTGTTCATGCATTTTTGTTCAAGCATTTGCAACGTTACAATTTTGTAACGGATATAAATTAACGGCTACTTTAATTATTATTTTTTTAAATTTGCAACCTTTGTCAAATATTTTTGTGTATATATAGAGTATAATTTTGTCATAATTTAAGCCACTCCTACATATTTTCCTCATCTCCCTTTGTATTACTAAATTTTAATTTTTATCCATTCAAAATTTAAACATTACCTTTGTATTAGTAAATTTTAGTTTCTATCCATTCTTACAATAATAGGAGTAATTATGGATGACAACAATCCAAATTATGGTACCAACCCAAATTCGCAATATGGTCTACATAATATTCCCTTTGAAATTGATCCGAGTATTCTAAGTAATCCCCAAGTTCAGTCTTACTTACAATACCTATCTACTCAATCGAGCCAAAATAATCAAACTTCCCTTCCACAAAATTCAAATCTGGTATTTCTAATGTCCCAACACATTAGCCAACAAATGGAAAGCTCTCCAGGCGGAGATGGTAGTAGCAACGCTACTCCAACATCCAAATCTAGGGGAGCTCAACATCTTGAAGAGATTGAGGATCTTACTGTTAATTTGTTTTTGGAACAAATTAATGTTGGTTCAAATGCGAACCAACCAAAAAGGCAATCGAAGAAGGAAACAACGTCATCACAAGCAAGGTGCGCGCCGCGAAAAATGGAGAACTGGACCATTAAAGAAGATGAAGCGTTGGTGTCGGGTTATATCAATGCCGGAGGAGATGTTGGTGATGGGACAACTCAAACTAAAATCCATTTGTGGAATAACATTGCTGCATTGTATGAGCAGACACGCTTAGGAAATCCCAAGGACGACATCAAACAAAGGACGATGAAAGCTTTGCAAGTAAGGTGGGATACAATCAATGGAACTGTTGGGAAATGGGTAATGTGCTACTCTGAATGCCAACGTGGCAAACCCAGTGGGATGACTGAGGAAGATGTTGAGGGTGCGGCTCATGAAAGTTATGAAAAGTTACATGGTCAACAATTCATGTTGATGCATTGTTGGAAGCATATGAGAAAGAAGCAGAAGTGGGGTGCTGGAACCATGGTGCTACCAACTTGTAGTCAAGGAAGTTCTAAGAGAGGGGAGCCTGAGTACGTTAGGGGTGAGTCCTCAGAGAGTCGACCCGATGGAGCTAAGAAGGCGAAAAAGAAAGGGAAAACAGTTGCTCCAACTGACTCCTCGGCCATCGACTTTGAAACCTTGACATATACTCTAAATGAAATTAGTGACACAACGTATGATCAAGGAGAAAGAATGTATGATCTAATTAGGAAGCGAAGTGATGAAAGAAAAAGGCAGAAGGAAGAGGAGGCAAAGTTAAGGATTTACAGCATATTAGCCTCTAACCCTAATCGCGACAGTGAAGACGAAAAGGCGTATAAGAAGCTAAAGGATGAGTTTAAGGGACGATACTATTAGTTTTAATAGTTAATGATTGTCATGTTTTATTATTGTCATGTTTAATTGTATTGTGATGTATTGTTAATGATTGTCATGCTTTATTATTGTCACTTTTTTTTTATTATTATTGTCATGTTTTATTATTGTTAAATATATTGTCATGCAATGTTATTGATTGTCATGTTTTATTGTAATGTTAATTATTATCCAATTTCAATATATTATTGTCTTGTATTGTTTTCGCATGAAAGTTGGGGCTATGGGGATATATAAAGAAAAACAAAAGATACCGAAAAAACAAAGAAAAAGTATGACCAGCTGGTAGAAGTGGTAGGATGAAAATGGATTTCAAGAGCATTTAGCACTATATAGAGGTCACTGAATAAGATTGTTAACAATTCACAATAGATAATTATTGGTTCTAGTAACCAATACCATCTTTTGAAAGTAGCGATTTGTTATTGTAGAAGTATGTTACAGACTTAGTAACAAAACAAAATTATGAATAAACAAAAACAAAATTTGATATTGTAACGTAATATTTTGATTCACTAACGATACGAACATGAGGTAGTTGAAAACTTTAGGTGACTATAGAGGAATGGGAGAATGTGAGGTGATTGTTAGCTTCATTGATTATTATCTTGGGCATCAGAATTATTATTAACCTCTTTCCTACTATCATGAGCCCAATCAAATCATTCTCCCACATTTGGTGAAATTTTTAAACAATTTAGTAAAGAATTTGATTACAATGGAGATTTGCATCCAAGATTTAACTGGATTCAATGATCTAAATACAGTGACAAATATAATACTACCTTCGGATCATATTATATGCAACTTTGGGGTATTATTTGTGAGATATAAAAAATTCCAAAGTTGCATATAATACGATCCGGAGGTAGTATTTTTCATAAGTGAGTTTAAATGAAATTGATACGACTGTCGCGTGTCTACCAAAAATAAACCTAACTAAAACCTCCTACAATGTAGTAGGGTAAGCTAGGGTCGATCCCACATAGAATTGGATTATCAAATTATTACTTGTGTAATTAAGTTAGAAAGCCCTATTTTGAACAAATAATGATATGATCTAATAAATAAGCTACTAAGGGCATGTTCTCATTGACTAAACTCAGTTGAACTGAGCTGAACTGTACTGAACTGAGCTGAACTGAAATGAATATTTTATAAGAGAAGGAAATTAGGAGCTGAACTGAGCTGAGCTGAACTGAGCTGAACTGAACCGAACCGAACCGAGCTGAACTGAATTTCAACGTAAGAGAACATGCCCTAAATAGATAACAAATAAAGTACGGAGAAATAAACTAATAAAAATTGAAATATGATAAAATCAGGAATAATGAAATAAGGAATCGGGAGATGTGTTATAACATTGGAGTATCAATTATTGCTCATCGAATTATACGAATTACATTTATATCTCAATGTTAACCAATGAACACAAACAAGCATTTGAAACTTCCCTTAATTGCAAATACACCAAACGAGCTCTCGGAATATTGTCTAACTAACTAATAATCTAGAACAAGCTCTCTAGACTCGATTAATTAGCCGCATTAATAACAAGGAAGTAGTTAACTTAACCCACAAATCTCACAAACTCGGACTTGTGCAACTTAAAGGGTTGATAATCTTAGGTAGTATGGCAAGTTTTAGTCACCAATCAAACACCTAATCACTACTAATGGTATCAACTAGACAATTACGGATCACAAGCTAATACTCTAGTCGTCAAACTAGCAAATTATACTAAAGATGGCTTGTCCTAAATATAATCAACTGATTCGTAATATTCAAGCAGATTGTCAAACCAATTAAGAATATAAACATAATATCCAACAATTATAGCATATCAATTCTCACAATGCAATAGTCCAATGCATAATATATCTCCCTACCCTTGTTTTATCTAGCCTGACATACTAAGAGTTGAAAGAACAATAACAATTACAAACAGAAAGTTCATAATATGGAAGAAATAATTAAACATTAGATTGATAAGGCTAACAGTAGCTAAACGAAACAATCAAGTACCAATATTGAACAAATGCAATAATTTAAATAAGAAAAAGTTAAATAAGATTCAATCCTATAATCTAATAAGATATCAATCATACCAAAATGAATTCAATAAGAAAAAGTAAGATATTAAAATAATGTAGTACCAAACTCAATTTGAGGATTACAAAGGAAGATGCCACGGACTCCACAGCTCCAAGATTTGTTCGCATGAAATCTGTTGCTCCTTCTCTGTGCTTCTTCCCTTTCCGTCTCCTCTCTACCTCAGATAAATATCTTCAATTTATTCCTCAAACCTATCCCAGAAAAATCCCCAAAAAATACGGATTTGATAACTCCCCGGAACCCCAACAAAACGATAAGAAACCTCCATTCATTATCTCCACTACACCGAGTATTTTGCTCCAATAATTATCCAATTTCATCTTCATCATCTCTTGCTTGACAGTTTGGTATCCGCGAAAGTCGATGGAGAAATTTGTGTTTCACCCGCAAGAACAATGAGTAGCTGCTCCTTTATTTTTCTTTTTGTTTTTGTTCTTTTTGCTTATGCTGAGGGTCAAGTTGTTATATTTAGGATCCATGTGACTATTGGGTTTAAAGTATGTGACTTCACTTGTAAGCTTTGTTTCTTTTTCCGAGCTTAATAACGTGCATCTTGATACCGTAATCTTCCTTCCTACAAACAAATAAATCAAATAGTAGTAACTCATGTCTCAGGAAGAAAAATTTACTTAATAAACATTTAAATTATTAAAAGTAAATATAAAAACAAGAGTCTAATAAATAAAATAATGTAATTTTATGACCTCATCTAAATTAAACAAATTACATTAAAATTATTTATTAATTAATGAATTACGTGAAACTATAACCATCACTCTCCATTTGCTCCAAACACCAACATATCCACTACTTTCTATCAGATTTTTTGTGTGACGAATGGGACAAACTCATATGTCCTATCATCATTCTACTGAATTCTGTAACACCCCAATAATTCTCCCTTTAAACCTGTGAGGATCCTGAACAATATTCAAGAGAATTACTGGCGTGCTACCGTCACGTGTTTAAACGTAAAGGCTTTATCAAAAAATAGCAGCGGAAAAACTAACTCGGTTATAAATAAGTTTCAAAACCAAGAACCAAAACCAAATTAAATCTTACAACTTGAAATCATTAAGGCCCTTATTCAAAACCTCACAAAAGTAGTAAATAAATAAATAAAAACAGAGTTTAAATAAATTCAAACTTATGAAAAGAAATTAACAGCGAACAATAACCAACTCTCCACTTAAAATCCCACCACCTAGATGCAAGCCCAAACTATGTAAACACCTGTGATGAGCCTGCTCCCCAATATTACAAGTGTAAAGATTGGATCATTACAGGGTCATTGAAAGGTGAAGGTCATGACCAAAGAAAAAACACACAAAAGCACGCAATCAGCAAAGCCGAGTACATACAAGCTACGAAAAATAATAAGAAATCCCTAGCATGCTACTATCAATAAATCATCGAATACAATTTAATTATAAACTCAAACACATAAATCAGCTGTTTACATTACTAAGACTCCACTAACTAATAATAGGTAAATCATTTCATTTTATTCATTGGATTAAGCAATAGACAAGGTTGTCCATCCCATGCTCCATTTGGAACATCAATAAAAGAAAACCACATGCCTCCTTTCGGAAACATCAATAAACATCCAACAACCACGAGCGCGACTCCGTGACCGTAGTTAGTATGAGATCTCATCGAACTCCTAGTTTTGAAAAGTATTTGAAATAAGAGACTCGTAGATCAGACAGTCTTGAGAAAAGTGCACGGCTAATACCCCGTGTACCCCAACCCCTGATTGTCATTACTCTAGATGTGCACAAATCTAGAGTTTTATTGCTCATCCATCTTGCACTTTACGTGATATACAAGTTTAGACTTGGTGATGACTCATTTATAAACAACACAATCAATCCATTATCAGTTCAATCAAGTAAAGCAAACTTTCAAATTTCAATTTGATTTATTAGTGACAAGCAACATTTATTATTAAATCCTTTAACTACCTCGGTGTATAAACACCTAGTGCATAAGGCACCCCACAAATATAACCTCGTCATATAAGACTTAAATTCATCCTTTACTCATTCTGTTTCCATAATCATAAATGAGTATAAATTAATCATTTCACCAATCACATACCTTTGCCTCTAAGCGCACCTTGCATAATTAGAGCATAAACAATACTTGCAATATATAATAATGCACGTCATACAAAAATTCACAATGTCTAACCAAACAATTTACCCGGTCATCCCTTTACATGATACCAAGTTCTCGATCCGTCCTTAAACATGCACCTAAAAATAAAAGGTTTCGTAACTCGTACGTACCTTGAATATATGAGTTGGTATGTGTTGGGAATAGTTTCAAGCCTTAAAAATCCCACTAGCTTGAACCCCACTGTGATCATACACTAAAGTACGGTGGCGTCCAAAAGGGAAGAAGATAGAGCAAAAGAGTCGCCAACAAGTTTTTAAGGAACTTGTAAACCGTTCACGAGGTGAAGGTTACACCCCTTAACGATCCAAGAGATCGCCAACTCCATAAGGTCATGAACCAAAATAGGGTTCGGGGATGATGGTACAAATCCAACCTAAAAGAGATTGAACCTGCCCTAATAATAGGCCTCTACTTTATTCTGCTCGTATTCATGTGCGCTTTCTGATTAACATGCAATCAATAGGATTAACCCTAAACCTGTTTATCTATGTTGGTTGAATATTAATGCACAAATAAACTATTATTGGCGATCACTTGAATTATAATCATATTAACCCTAAACAAGATTATTAATTATCTTATTAAGCGTGGTTACAAGTACAAATTCCCTTTAACATGCATAAAAAGGTGTGATCAAGCAATAAATAATAAGCATCAAGCAACATAATAATGAATATCATCAT